ACGATTAAATAAAAAAGATTAAAAAAAAACTCTTCTTCTTATCTTTCTCTCTTTCATCGCTTCCAGTAAAATTGCTTTATACCGTTATGCCATTCTCAGAAAAAATTTTTTCATTTCTTACTTGGTCTCTTCTCGAGCCTGTGATTGCGATTATTGTTCCACGTATATGGACAAATTTATTCCGGTTTTATTCGATTTCGAGACCATAACTGGACGAGATGTGCCCTGCGTGATATTGAAAGCGTTTTATTTGTTCTAAAATTTTATTATCTGTGACGATTTTTGAAAGTGTTATATATATAAAGGCTATAGTTTTCTCTTCACCTTGAGAGTCAGAGCGTCTACGTATAAAATTATATTAAATGTGGTATTTTTGACTATGGGGATTCCAGATCAATATTTCAATTTCCATTTTTTAATGATATGATCAATGTCAATATGGGATTATTTTCTTACCAGTATTTATCACACTGACTATAGCTTTTACTAGGTACTGAAACGTACTTCACCATAGCTGCGCTGTATTTAAATTATCGAAAACTTTTTCAAAATGGATAAACAATCTCTGTTAAACTCTAAAAACATGTTATTGTTGACCGTCCTTTTCTACTCCCCATAGATGTTTCTATTATGTTTTCGGATATTACTTTTAATCTGTTATTTAGAATTTTAGCCTATATTTTATATGGCGAGTTCAATAAGCTGAATTTGTACATTCACCCTTGTTTTTACACCAAATATTCAAGAGATACATACCTCCATGTTTCTCATTCGCTTTTGCGTTTAGTGCACCGTCAGTTCCCTTAAATCTACTACATTTAATCCATTTAATCCAATAATCCCCACTAAAACTTTTTGGTTTCTGGGGGAATTTCATTTGACAAGATCTCTTTATCATACCAGAGTATTTTTGTAATGTTTTAAACATTTGAAGGTGACTTTTTGCTTGCTAATTTAAAGTTTTCATTAATTTTTATAGGCAAGTCTTTGTTTACCCATGAATATCGCTTGCTGTGTGGCTAATATGTAGATTTCAAGACACTTTTTTCTAATTCCTCTTTTGTTTGTTGGGTCATTCTTCTTCTAACAGTAGTGAACTTTTTTTCTTCTGGACTTTTCTTCATAAGAGGTTTAACTGCTGCCTTTACCTCCCGCAATAATTTACAATAATACCGTTTTTACTCACCGATAGTGGAGAATTATGATACTATTAAATTGTCATTAATTTCACTTTATACCGCCATAAAGGCGTAATAAGGGGAGATATCAGAAAACGAAACATATTTATGTTCCACGTTTTTACTCTACAGTTTTCAAAGAATAGCCTATAGCACATTTGTACACTTTTTAAAGGAAATAGTATATCGGTAATTTCGGCGTAACTTCTATCAGTTAGGTGCTCATCCCGGTTTCGTGCGTACGAGCACTACGTCTTTTTCAAGTATCCAAGTTTATTTACCGAGGCTAAGTGCAAGGCAATCATTCTCGCGCTTAAAATAGATAGAGCCGGCGGTTTTGAACCTGCAGGTTCAAGATCGTTGACTCTGTGAGTTTATTTAAGTGAAGAGTATAAAATTAAAACAAATTTACCGGAACCGACGACTTTAACGGCATTTTAATGGGACATGATGCAGTTTATCGATCGTCCGTTATTTGCCATTTTAATTTTCCGACCTTTTCAGTTGTAAACAGGCACTTTCCATTTCGCTTCCCGAGGCTTGGGGGGAACAATTTTTATTTATCGAATAATGGACGCACGTCCTTGTAGAAGAGAAGTTAACTTTAGTAAATCCTTTTGAGCTCTCTTGAGCGTGACGCGAAATTGATTCGGGGGATGAAGCGTAGTCTGTCGGAGCTTATCGGAGTCACTTTGGTTGTTGTTTTATGAATCGCGTCGACAATGTTAAACCCCAACAAAAAAACAAAAAAAATGTCTGACGTTGATTCCAAAAGTGCGTTAGAAATCTGGATCACATCTTATCAAAGATATAGGCGGTGGCAACTACATTACTCTCTAGAAATTTTAAGCTTAGAAGCGAGAAGAAGAACAGAGGCAATAATAACCACAAGAGAAAGTGCCAAAACGAGCTCTATTACCGCTTTGGCATTTACTAAGGATGTAACTGAGAAACCATTATGAAATCATTTTGAATGAGGTCAAGAAAAATTAAAACCAACAATCAAATCGAAAAATGATTACGACGAAAAATATGACATCTAAAAATTTTTTATGTGGAATAGTAGAAATGGTACCTGATGATTTTACCATTTTATCGATTCCCTAGAAATAAACAACTTCAAGAAATTTGGGTTCGGAGATGATGATAAGTGGATGACGGAAAATGTGTTTGTTCTCAACATTTTCAGAAGAAGATTTTGAACGCAACGCAACCTGCAGTTGAGTGGGAAGAAAAAGGAAAATAAAAAAAAAAACAAAATTCAATAAAAATGAGTCCATCAAAAAGCGTCCGTCCGTCAAACTACGTTCACTCATAAGGATTAAGTATTTCAAAGGAATCGATACTACTGAAGTGCATGAAAAATTGTTTAAAATATGAAAAAAAAACTTTAGTAACAATTGTATTACTATTAAAATAAACCAATATCTGACAATTGTAACAGAGAGAAATAATACCTACAGATTCTAGCAAGTAGAAAAATATACTTGCCTGGGAACGATATTTACTAGAAAGCCGTACAGATACAGGAATCCTTAGTATTTATACATAGTTATGTATTGGAGTGAAGTATACAGGACGTTTTATAATTGAATGTCAATAATGAAGGGGGCGATTTTTGGGTACATTTTAAAAAGAAAACTTCATATGAACATATGTCCTAAATGTCTTCACCTTTGAGATACAGGGTGGTAAAGTTTTTAAAAATAAAATATATTTCTTTAATATCTGTTATACCACTTTAGATATTTTAATGAAATTTGGCGCACATGTGCTATGTACCAAGAGGCATTACTTAGTGTAACACTAAATAATGAAATACACTAGAGGAGGACGTACGGAATTTCACCTGTCTATTTTACCAGACCTTGATGGTACGCCATTGATTTCTCTTAAAATAAAAAACATTCTTACCATCTTAATCATTTCCAAAGAAATTTAATTTCTTGATTTTTCTCAATCGGAAGTGCGGTTTTCACTTAATAAAATAAAAATCTCGTCTTTGCATGGTCATAACAATATCAACTACGTAACCTTGGAGGTGTATTGCTGAATGCTTTATAATTATTTCTTATCATTGCAGTAGGCTGTGAATGATAAATTCTGTTGTCAAGGCGGTTGTTTGACAGCTGTTAAGTTTTTAAATTCAGTTTACTAGGGACGAGTTAGCAGATCTGCACTTTATGTATTGTTCCTAATAATAATAATACCAGATAGGCGATCATTTTCAAATGTACATGGAAGGCTAACACTGAAACAGGTATTTTGAATAAATAATAAAATAAATAATCATTTAAAAGGGGCCCGGCGGACTAAGAACTCTAGAAATTGAAGAAGCACGATGGACATGATGGAAATCCTGGACTTGGTACTAGAAAAATTGGAAATAATCTGAATTTCTCGCCTGTTTTGGTTTGGAAAATATTTGCACAATTTTTTATCGTATCCATACCATATTCAATGAGTCCAAGCGTTGCTTCCCAGAGATTTGGTTTTTGGACAAAATACTATTTACAGATGAAGCTAACGTATCCAGAAATGCAATAAAAAATTTGGATAATAAACATATTTAGGCCATACAATTGTAGAATTTAAATATCAAGAACAGTTTTCCGTAAATGTTTGGGCTGGAATTGTTGGAAATTAGTTAATTAGACCCTTTTTCCTTACAGAAAAGCTAAATGGCCATAACTATCGCCGGTTTTTAGAAGAGGATTTGCCAATATTGCTCCAAGAAGTATCATATTTAATTAGGAACAAGAAACAGGAAAAGAGCTGAAGCGTGCATCCTTCAATGTCGAGAACAGTTTCAACAACTTATTTAGTTTCTATATATTTCTTTTTTCAAAAAGGTTCTTATTAATTTATTAACAGACAATTTTGTTAATAAGAATCTTTTATTATTTATCTTGTTATAAATGTTATGTTATTTCATTAAAACTGTAAAGTTTTCTTTTTTTTCTTCTGAAGCCACAAGAACAAATAGATATTTTGTTTTAGATAGATAATTTATTTTTCATAAAAAAAAAGTTCTTGATTTAAATAGTGCGGTGGCGACCTAATAAACTAAAATATTATTTGTTCGTAGACAGTCAATGGCACGCCACTGATTTCCTTAAAAATATAAATAATTTCTCTGCATGCTGTCATATTAACGACATTGTTATGACCATGCAGAGAAGGGGTTATTAATTTTTAAGTGAAAACCGAATTGAAAAAATTCAAGAAATTAAATTTCTTTAAGAACGATTGGTGATTGTAAGAATAATTTTTAATTTAAGAGAAATCAGTGGCGTACCATAAATGTCTGAAAAAGCAGAAAAGTGAAATTCCGTACGCTTACCACTGGTATATTAAACAAAAATGTGGTATATTAAATAATGACTCTTAATGTGTGCCAAATTTTTATTTTTGAAAATTTTACCAGCCTGTATCTAACAAGTTAAGACGTTTAAGATATATGTTCATATGAAGCTTTCTTTTTAAAATGGATACAAAATTCAAAATCAAAAAAATAACTAAAAATAAAAATGAATATTGGACATTCCAAGGTGATTCGACTGGGAAAAAGTACTGGCGGCTCACAATCAACCAATAAATCGTATGGGTTATACCACGAAGCTCTTTTTCTGTTATAATCAGAGTTTTACTTTGAACAACAGAATATATTAACGATTTGCGTATAAAATCTATAAAAACTTATCGAGACATTTTACGACCAGCGCCACTTCGCCATTTGGTGTCGGATATTACCGCGTCTACTAAATGAAACGCTGTGATTGATAACTTTCTGACGGTAAATAATTATCTCTAGGAACTTACCATCCTGGTTTCGATTTCGATGTCCACCCTGCTTTTAATCTTCCTCCTTTTGGCTCCTAACACGGGAGTGCAAACGAAGAACTTGGACGATCTGTGGCCGTCTCTTCTCCAGCGGTCCAACTGACGCATCACGTGAACGGGCGTCTTGGACGCCGCCTCGTACAAAGCCTTGAGGGCGTCGGTGCGGCTGGCGACGCCAAAGAGGTTGGTGTCCATCGGGTGTTTGGCGGCATAGTGCTCCTTGGTCTGGGCAAAGGAACAGATGTCGCCTTCGGCTGAAACGAAACAAAAATCGAATGAACACGGCGACGAGAGAAGAAAAATGGCGGATAACGCGGTCGTTGAAGCATTATTGGGCATAAATTATCGAAAGATGCAGAGGATCAAATTCCAAGTGGAATTTCTTGCGTACCCGCCCACGATCGATATAACCGATTTTGAGTTCTTTCGAGTCGATCGATCATACTTTATTGAAGGTTGCGATGAGCACGTCATGACGTGGGGAGTGTCGGCGTTGCCAAATTTTTCGTAGTTTCAACCGTCGGTCTATGGCACGTGTTTGTGAACGTTATAATTTTGACTCCCGATCCATTTCCAAAAATCGTCAATATGTTTTGGAGAACAAACGTTTTACCATATTCATGACAATGATCTCAGACACAGAAATTGCGGATAGCAAATCTTGGATTACGCCAATTTGAATTCAGCACAGAAGAACGCTTACAACTTAAAAAATCCAAGCAAAAGGTCGGAAAAACAAACTTTACTCAGAAATATAGGCTATGACAGAAAAAATATCAAATTGCCAATGCATTCGTGCTGGTTTGTAAAAATATATTCAAAAACTAACGGTCGTGGACAAAGTATAGTCTGCAACATGACTACTAAGTAGCAAATCCTAACTAATTCTAATTTTCTTTACCAAATATTCAATAACAAATAATAATGACACAAGGCATTCCTAAGACCGCAAAATATCGCCATAGCGGACACCGGTTAATGCTTTCGTTTTGCGAAATTTATTTCATATGCTGATGAGCAAAAGCTGTCGATGCTCCGACAGTCGCAAGTTTAAGGAGGACCTTGATGGGTTTTATGACTACTGTTTAGGAAACCGACTGTTTTTAAATATTGATAAATGTTAATTAAAAAATGATACAGCTGGAGTAAGTATTAAAGACGTAAAGCATATCAGGGATCTCGGAATAACTATAGACACAAAACTGAGTTTTGAAATTCATATTAAAAAACATAGTGAAAAAGGTTTACAGAAGCTTGGGTTTTATTACAAAGAATTTAAAGATCCCAAGCTTCTGGTCATAATCTATAACTTGATTGATGGTTTTTACTTGATGGAAATCTATTTATCAAAATAAATAAGAACTAAAAGTTCAGATTTTCACGAAATTATATATTTTTACATGACAATTGCTTCGACAACACCGTGTCTCTGTCTTGATATCTTGATAAATATATAATTTCGTGAAAATCTTAACTTTTAATTCTTATTTATTTTGATAATCTATAACGCCTATGTGATATGTGTGATATGGACTCCCCAATATCATAAAAAAGTAAACATAATTGAAAGAATTGAAAAAAAGTTTATTTGTCTCATGAACTTTAGATATAACCACAATCTAATAGATGTATCATATGAAGCAAGCCTTGACTTCTATCATACGTTGAAATTATCTGTTAGGCGAATAATATATAGAGGCATTTTTTTCACAAAATATTGTTAATAACAGAGTAGTCTGTCCAAAGCTATTGGAAAAGTTATCCTTTAATGCTAGGGTGGTAAAAAATAGAACGCTTGCTTTATTCTGTGCGCCTAAATATAGGAAGCAATTCACTAATATCTCTTTTGAAAAGAAATTATAACAGTTACTTTTTACACATAGATATTTTTGCTTTATCACTCAATTCATTTAGGAATCAAGCAATTAGAGTGTTTCGCTCGGACTAAATTACATTTATTTCTAGATTCGTTCTTGTTTCTCTTTTTTTTGGATTTGGAAATAGTTTTGCTTATATTGAATTGAGATTAAGATAAATGTAATTAGTTTTAGTGTACCTTTGTAATTTGTCACGTTAGTTCGTCATGTTAGGGTACCTTGTGATGACAGTCACAAAACTCGCTCTGCACTTTGAGGTCGCAAACAGAGCAAACAAGCAGTGCTGGAGTTACCGCGGTTCGTGTTTTGATGTGCAGTCCAGTGAAAAGCGGCAACACCGCCCGAAGAAATTTCCGTTGGGTGGCCTTGTAGCTTGTGTGGCCAAGTTTAAAAAGCATTTAATGCAGGGTATAGTCAAGTAACGAGTCTAAAAGAGTATAAGGAGCGAAAGTTGGCGGGCGAGACGAAAGAAGCTGCGGTCGCGTCAAGTCATCTCGCCGATTCACCAGAATATTAATATTAAATATGATAATTATGGTTATTATCCGAGGCAGTGTTTAGTTAAAACCGGCCACGGTGATTCCTGCGTTTTAATGTGAATTCCCTTTTGAACAAGCGAGCGTAACCGTAACTAGTAAAAAACGATTGCTTATCGTCCTGGAACCAATTAAATGGACGACTCTTGTGCAAAAAACATTTTTTTACTGCCCCCAATGTGAAGGTCGTTCTAGCGAAACCAGTTAACAGTAGTTAATTTTTTGACAATGACAATAGTGGGACGGGATGGCAAAATTGTGATCTGTCCTTCTATCATCTGTTGGTTTAGAAACTGAATGAGTCTAAGAAGAACGCGAAATACGTGCAGTTTCATTGTCAGTATAAATGTCATTCTTCCTTTCTTTGACTTGGCCCTTTCAAACTCGTGGGTCCCTTGTCGAAGAGACTACAATTTTTTATAGACCGCAACAACAAACCACAACAACACCTGTCTTTATCAAGGCACCATCAGAGAATAAAAGAAAGTGGGATCAATATTTCGCGCAGATGCAACAGGTTTTAAAAACCCAGTATGGTGCAAAAATCACAATTGCGACATAAAAATCTTTTGCTGCATTTGCGACCTATTTTTGTCACAACTGGAATCAGAAACTGTTTCATTGGGATCCTAATAAGTAATATGGTTTATTTCCACTTATTTTTCGCCATATTTGTAGCGCGATATCTCGCGTTTTAACTGTGATTGTTTATGTCTTATGTTGTTTGTTCTCACTGGGGATTAATTAATAATCTAATAGTTTTTTTTTTTAATTAATTAGAATATCATGAACATATTACATCATATTTCTTATATAACATAATTTGACTTTGGTCTTTCAAACTCGTGGGTTCCTTGTCGAAGAGATTACAATTTTTTATAGACCGCAGCAACAAACCACTACAACAACATCACCTGCCTTTATCAAGTCACTATAGAGAGAACTACATATGTTATGTAAATGTCAGTACCGTGTCATGTCCATTTCTAAAATGTATATATAAATACTCAATTGTTTTTGTCGCAATATATGATTTCAATTAATTACCTCTTAACTTTTTATTTCCGTCCTGGATTGTGCCAGATTTTTCACTATAGTTATGTTTTATCTCCGAGAAAATTTATAAGTTTAATATTTTAAAAGCAATAAAAACTATTTTATGGTAAAATGAAACATTAATAAATGAAACTATTTGTCGAAATATCTGTAATAAAGGAATTTACTAACCAAAAAAATTGGCAAGCTAATGATATCAATGTTTGTGTCCGACGGCTTGAAGTTTTTGAGAATTGTACAAAAAAGCAACTGGGGTTTAAAAATATTTAATAGTAAAGTGAGCAATTCTTTTGAACGGATTATCCAAGGGTGGTCAATGCAACAATATTATTATCCTTATTAATTAAGATAATTATTAATTAGTTAATTATTAATTAAGGTAATAATCTTGTTGCATTTTATGTTATTGACCCTTGGATGATCCGTTCAAAAGCAATTGGTCACTTTCTTATATCTATGAACAGACCATACCTCCTACGCTTTGAAGTTACATCAAAATAGTTGTCGTTATTTTTACAGTAAACCAGATGAATAATGCGATAATGAATGCATTAAAAAATTAAAAAAGTCTAGTCAGAAAGTAACAGTTACAACGAAGTCACCCACATAATAAACTATTCTTTATATTAAACTAGGAATCAGCCCGTCATGTTTTTCGCATTTTTAAAAAAAATTTGCTATGCCTCCTCGCATCTTCAAAAATGTATTTACTACTGAATACCGCTTCCTGTACCTCGCTTTGCTTACATGGTCACAGTTTATTATTCTTCATCAACATGGAACAGACTATAAACATTAAAAAAAAAACGATTTAATGAATCTCGTCAGATTCATCTTCTTTCGCGACCGACTAGGCTAATAATGGCTTGGGCTGTCACCGACGAAGAATATCATAATATCTTTAAACAGCTGCTGCTTGTAATTTCTGTTACTTTATCTCCGAGTTTGTTCCTTTTTTGGCCTCTGCGCCGCTGAGCGTAAAGCTTGGCACTAGACGCGGACTGTTTCTTTTTGGTATTCGGAAAATAGCTGCCGCTGAAAGGTTGTAAAAGTCACTTTTATATCCCCATTGCGGCACATTAATTTATGTACTGGGTAATTCATTATTTATAACGGGGTACTAATAAGTTAGAAATTGATAGTAATAAATATTTGAGTAAAATTATTACCATTATTGACAAGACAAGACAATGTTAGTAATCATAACTAGAAGTTTTTTTGGCGCAAATGCTACACAAGAATTTTAAAAATGTGCTTTTGGATTACTGAGAAGTCGTAGAAAGTTACATATGCTATTCTTTCAAATAGTTATTAAATACTCTTGTCACTATAGTAATCTTGTGAAAGGAGTTGTATAAACAATTTGATATAATAACAATTCTGATGATCTGAAACCCCGCCGAATATACAGAAATAAGTATTTTGTCCTAGAGACTAATTGCATTTGTCCGTCCTCATCTTGACTATGGATCTTTTGTTTAGACAAATTAGATAACACAAATATCCAAAAGTATAATTATAAATTTCAAGCTGAATCTGACACTAGAAATTTGTATATATAAGTATTCTGCTGGTGTAAAATTTTTATACAGGTAAAGCACGGAATCCTTTATCAATTTTCAACAAACTCTTCTTCTTGGAGCAGCCAAATTGATATGTCGACACCGTTGTAGTTCTAGCCTGTTTTGTTATGAGGAATGTGTTTCATAATCAAATCAGCTCTGTTTTTGTTGTCTGAATTTTCTTATTTATTTTTCATTTTTTATTTTTAAATTTTAACTTTGT